TAGTTGTCCCACATCGCCACGATTTGCCTCCGAGCAGCCATTGTTACCCAGTCTGGTAACCCTGGTCAGACGGTGCTCAGGGTCACAGATGACGCTTTCCATTCCAGGATCATCTCTTCGTCAACGGCCTAAACCGCCGGTACACCTGAGCCTTGAGGTGCCTTACTGCGCACCAAGCTTTTCTGACCCGGCCACGGTGCACTTTCTTTCTTTCTTGGCTGGCGCTGCCAGCCATTGTGGTCCGGTAAGCCGAGCCTCCGAAAATTCCGTATGCGACGAATTGCATTTTCAGCAAGGCTGGGTCCGTGTACTGGCAATCCAAATCGATAGACAGGTTGCTAGTCTTCTCTCGTCTTGTTGAGGAAGACCTGCCTCATGGAGGAGTGGTACAAGTCTTGAACCCTTGATCATCACCTGACAATCTACATCCTAACCAATTGCATCATGTTAGACGGTAATAGACGCTACTCCTCCTCCTTTCAAAAACAACTGAGAGGAAGTTAAGGAAGACCTCTTGAGAATGACTGGATGTTCAGAATTTCTGGATCATCTGTACATGCAACGGGGCACTGAATGATACCTCAATCAGGCTCAATGCACGTTCCCCCAAACAAGCTGATACAGAGATTAAACCAGGAAATGATTAAAGATAATAATCTGCTATTCCTCTAGTCTATCTATCCCATGGCTTTTGACTCTGTGACTGCAATAGCAGACGAATGTCTACTTCAGAAAAGTTGTTGAAAATTTGCAGTCTTTGCCGCAGGGTATGGAAAACAACAGGTGAACAGGGAAAAAGGCCAAACTGGGTGGCTATCCGGGGGGGGGGGGGGGGGGGGGGGGAGGGGGTATTACCAAGATTCAATGACTTGAAGAGCTGTCGAATCACTCTCAGTACAACCTCAGCATTGTCTGTTCCGATTCCAAGCTGCATGCCAATGCCCGCACAACATCCAGGAGAACAAAAGAGAGAATCAGACTTGGTGGGCAGAACATGCGGCAGAAACAAGGCATTGTCTTTTTTTTTTGTGTGTGTGTTAAGAAACGTTAGAAAACACAATGACCCCTTCTATTCTGGGGGGCAACAGTCCGATTGCTTATCACCAGCACGCATGTTTGTACATCCAAAGAAGGGGGGAGATCAGACCAGAGAAGGGGAACGGTCTAAACCCTTGTGGCGCTAGTCACCTAGCAAGGGGGGGACTGCCCCCCTAAACCAAGGCACTCTTTTTTTTCTTTTTTTCCTTTTTCCCCCAAGAAACACTCCCAGCCCCTTCTATTCTGGGGGGCGTCAGTCTGGTTGCTTACCACCGGCAAGCAAAGTTTTTGAAACAAGCAGCGGGGGAGATTAGATAGGGAAGAAAGTCAGCCTACCGTTGTGGCTCGAGCTGCCTGTTCAAGGGGTGGTTGCTTCAGTGCCACCTGCTCCCATCCTTTGGCGTTTCCTTGGGGATTGTCCTGCAAGTTGTGAGGCTTATTAGTAGCACCCAGGCACGCTGCAGGATAAGCCCCACGGGGTCAAGGCACGGGGGGGAGGGGTGCCCTGCCAGCCCCTCTGGCCGCATGTTACTTACTCACCCCATTCCCACCATGTCTACCAGGGCCCCGCATTCCCTCTACCTCCTATCTCCACATCATCTGCATCCCTGAAACCTTCTGTCTTTACTGTCCCACCCCTCCTACGATCCGGTTTTCCTAACTGTGCTCCTATCTCCCTACTCCTAATCCTTGGTCCTATCTGCCTATACTGAAGCATTTTGTGCTATCTGCACCGACAGTAGCCAACACCACCTTGAATCCTTTAGTAAACATGTCTACCTAATTGCTATGTTCTGTCCCCAGCATTTTCTTAACCCAGCATTTCCTTGACCACATTTTGCCCTCTTACCCTCCTCTATTAGTAACTAACCCCTCCAACAGTACAACTATTTCCCTCCCGTTGACAAGAACCCCGCCCATCGCTCCTAACTGTAGTACACATCGGTTGGGCTCCGTCGTCTTCTTCCTGGGGTCTTGGCAGTTAGCGCATTAAGATCGGACCAAACCGCATTCGGCCAGTCTGGTCTCGGTTAAGCAGCTGCGGGTACGGGATCCATCTTTTCCAGAACACAAGTTTCCCTTGTTCCTTTGTACAGCTGCGGGTACAGGCTCCATCTTTTCCAGAACACAAGTTTCCCTTGTTCCTGACTGTAAGGCATTCTTGATCTATTCATTTTATTTTTTTTTGGTCAGAGAATGTGAACCTCTTTTTATGGTAAGAAAATTTAGAAAAGTCTCTTTTCTATTAATACAAGTTGGACACGCTGCAGTGGGGTAGGAACAACCATATATTGTAGGAAGTTGCCCACAAAGGGTGGAAGGCAGAGAAGAACAGAACCCAGGATGCGGATAGCACAAGATACCGTGTTTCTTCAATTTTCACGTCACCAGAAAACCATCACGCACACACAGAAATCCAGATGTATCAGACACAGGATAAGAGAGTCAAATGCCCACACGGCAGAGAGGAGCCACAACTAACATTAAAGAAAGCCAGATTAGGTCTGCGGGTGCACAATCACAGAGTTCCAGCACATAGTTAGCAGTATCCGCAAAGACAGTCAAATTCTTCTGCGCGAAGCGCTTTAGTGGGATTCAGATGCAAAGCATCTACTCTTCGGGCCATAGAACTGTCTGACAGCTCAACGCACGTGGCAGAGAGGAGCCAACTAACATTAGAGAAAGTCAGATTAGGTCTGCAATTGCGCACAGTCACAGATGCACTACAGAGACTGTCTGACAATTCAACCAAGGAACAGAAAACTGTCCGCCATGGTTTGTGTAGTTTGCACAAGATACAACTTACTGGCTTTGCTTACTTCCGGAGAGGTGATTGATTCCCTGAAAGGGGAATGCCATCAAGGGGGCTACAGAGCCAACGTTGTGGGCCCAACCCTCCGTGTGGAACCCAGTGGTACCCAGGCAAGAGAAGTCGCACAAAAGAATAGTTCGGCCGAATAGTTATTTCAGGGTAGGGAGTTCGAAGACCTTGCGGTCCTATGAGGGAAGCTGGAAGTAGAATTAGATCGGCAGGTCAGAAGGTAGGCTATGACTTGGGCTGCAAGTTAGTCAGGACTGCGGGTCTTTAAAGGGGGGGTGGAAATGCCACTGGAGCTGGACAAGAGTCGGCGTATGCTTTTCGTATGGTCGAGTAGAGCACAGTGAGAAGGATAGGAAGAGGAGCCGCCATTCCAAGTGGGCATTCGGTTTAGCCCAAGCAATAAGTTGTGATCTATAGAATCAAAACAGTTAGTTATGTCGCCTTCGATGGCCCACGTTTGGCATTTTTTTTTTAATTCCTACATGGAGGCTCGCAAGAGTCAGAGCTGCGGCGGAGCCTCTACCAGGCTGAAAAGCATGACTGCAATCAATAAATTTCTCTTCGTAGATCATCTCCAGTATGACCTGCATAGCTTTGGACTATTTTGAAGATAAAGCGGCCTCTTACAGTGTCGGTCGCTTTATCCGGCGCGAAGCGCCGTTGTTGAAGAAGAGTTGCTGGTGCCCTGCACTTCACACGTGGTTAGCACGTGTATGGAGTTTTCTACTGTTTTTGAGTTTTTTTTCCTTTTTTTTTTTGCATATTTTGTTTTCAGCCTGTTTGTTTTTCTCATGTTTGTACTATGAGCCCATATCGTTTGTTTCCAAAGTTTTCCACTATGTTGCGGCTCTCCATTAACCATCTCTCCTGTGCTTGTGTTACATCAGTAAGGAGAGCGTTTGGGAAGAAAGGGTTCTTGGAGCGTCTGCAAAGGATTCTATAAGTATTAGCTTCGAGATAACTTCTCGGTTCCACCGTCTCAACTCCACCTCCCTGACACCCTCACCCTAAGAGCTGAAAAGTGGGGGTCCCCATTAACCACTTGTGTACACCTGACCTAATAATATAAGACCTGAATGTCTTCTGAAGTCTCGGTCTAAAAGGTCCTTGGGTAGTATGGGGAAAGGGGTCCTCGGCTTGAAAGGCTCTGATGGGGATTTAGACTGGGGCCTTGCGGGGGCTTGGCTTGCAGTAGTCTGGGGGTATGTGAGAGAGGTTTGGTAGAACAAGCATTGACTCCGTTAATGCATGTTGCTTGTGTTGGCTTATGCCTATAGGAATGTCTGAGCATGAATGGTGTGTTTCGATAGGTTGGGAGTGAAGTCCTAACAGGTCATGCAATCGAGCACCCGGGCACCCAACCTGTGCCTGGATACACGCCCGGGTGCCCAGCCGGGCATGACCCCCAGGCAGGGTTCTGGGCAGCCCCAGCGCAAAAAAGCTACGGAAAAAAAAAATGTTGTGCAGAACTGCAATGCAAACAACTTTTGGCTGAGGGTCACATCAGAATTCCTCACAGAATCGGAGATAAAAAAAGAAAATAACGGAATCACACTAAGGCACCCCTCTTTTAGCCCGCCCCTTTGGAACCATTTTATACCCCCCTTCCCCTCCCCCCCCTCCCCTGACAAACAACACTCAAAAACAGAAAAGAGCCCGGATTTGGGGTCCTGTCAAAGAGTACAGAAAAACAAAACCAACTTTTTTTTTTTTTTTTTTTTGCACGCCCGGGTACCCCGGGCGTGATCTCTTATATATATGCATCTCACCACAAAGGCTTAGCAAGCCATGAGACAGGTGGTTGGGTCTGGAAGGTAGCGAAAGTCGTACTATCTTAGGTCCCCAGCTCCAGTGCCTTGCAGGCATCGCATTGTGAAGAGGGGCACAGTGATAAGTGGATGAGATCCTCTAGAAACGTAAGCCATGTGGCTCAGGTCTGGTGGCTTGGCTGAAGGGATTTTATTCTTCCACATGGTAGAGATTATGCGTGACAGCTGAAAACAACGTCCTCTTCAAGATTACTGCTTGGAGGTTAGGTTCGTCACCCGCAACTCTGGACCTTCATTCGGTCCGCCAGACAACCCCAAACAAGGAGCTTTTGGTGAATGGTAGTCACTGTGCTCTGCTCAAGAGGTAACCAGCCACAGGACTAGATGGCCGATCCTGCAGCTGTTCTGTGTCGCGAAGAAATTATCGGAGCACACTTCAGTTGATCCACGAGGACCGCATGGAACCCCAAGGACCCCATTTGGTCTTAGGCGAGCAGGTGCTGCAACGCTGCTCCAAGAGCATATCCATCACGAAACGATGCCGACTTCAGGGCATCGAAGCTAATTTATGTTAGTTACTGGGACCTTCGCTGTCCTGGGATTGGACAAAGAAGCTATGGGACAACAACACGACTAAAAATCATATATGTTCTTTGGTAAGGCCGACGCAACCAGCTGAGGAGATGAGCATCCTATGTGACGCTTTGCATTCGGACGAGAATTTGGGCGTGCTACCGTGCGTTCCCTTATGCTGTAGCCACTGCGAAATGCCCTTGGCTGGTCCACCTCTGGCAAAACATGTAAAAACCGCCCTATGCGGATTGGTAGCTCGACAGGGGTATGGCCCCAGGGATGGTGACAGCTCCTTGGAGAGGTAGTTGTGCCTTGCGGGGCCCTGTCCTGCCGTAGGGGTTTCTGAGAGGTATAGCTGACGCACTCAGCCGGAGCAGCAAGCTCCCTATTTTTCTGCCTACTACAGTGCCTAGCATTCACTCTTGTGTGACGCAGCCGGGAGGGCCCTCGAGTTGAGGTTTGAATATACTGAAAGTAGTTCTAGGAGTTTACAAGATAGTATTGTAAATACTAAGAACTATTTGATAGATGGTCTCGATGTGCTCGACAGCACATTTTGTTTCTGATAAAGATAACGAATTCTGTTTTTCTTTCAATGGAAGAACAAAATGATTGACTCAATTTCTGCGATTTTGGAAACAAAGCAGTGAACGGCAATTTAATTCCCAGAAAAGGAAAAACATCTACAACCCTGAAGAGTTTAGTAGATTACCGAAGGCAAGTTCCGACTAAAAGGAAAACATTTCCTTCGAAAAGAGTCTAGTAGATTACCGAAAGAAAAACATTTACTGCGAAAAACATTTAGTGTCATTTACAACCCCGAAGAGTTCAGGAGATTACCAGAGAAAACCATTTTCAAATTTCTTTTTTTTTTAACTTTAACAAGTTCGACTAACCGGAAATTTTTTGGAATGCCTACCTTTGAAAAGATTACTGAAAGCAAAGCATCAAGAGTCAAGACATAGAACTTTCAATTTTTTTTAGTTTTCAAAAATTGCCAGAAGTTTTTTTTAACTTGTTTTCTTTTGCCAGTACTCTGCCACTATTTTTGTAAGTTAGCAACTTAGTATGTATAATCTGTCGCTCAGTGGCACAGGCTCGCTATGGAATCACTTATTATCCACCATGTGCTGATAAAGAGAAGATTTCGGCACTATGACTCCGATCCATCAAGAAATTCTAAGCCTTGGGACACACTGTCCATGACAAATTCTGGGCTGTGCAGATAAAGAAATTTCAGCCATCCACTGCCAGTGAACCAATGGCTACACACTAGGCGAAAGGGTTCAGATCCCCACAGTTCTGATCTGTGCACGGTCTGCACGGAAGGTGCGGTAGAGGACATAGTACACTGCTTAGTGCATTGTAGGGAGGCGACAGATTACTGGGCAAGAGCCTCGGCACTCTGGGATTCCCTATTCCCGACCCCTTTCCCTGAACAACCCATCCAACTTCTCCTCTTGACTGACATCCCTGAACAGCTCCAGAAGGCAGAAAAGATTTGGTTTGGACTCATCAGGAAAGTGACGGTATGGGTCATATGGAAGGAAAGATGCAGCAGAGCGATTGAAGGACTGTCCAACCCACGTGAGAAGGTTTGGGCGGAGACGAAAATATGATGATACAAGCCGAAATCCTCTGCAGATGGTGGAAGACCAAACAATCATGGACAGGATGAGGAACAACAAAAGAAGGTGAGACTGAGATTCAGCGGGATCTGGTTGATAAGCGGTAAAAGGTAAAATAGCGGAGTTATGAGAAGACCGCATTTGCTGGAAAGACTGGCATAACTCAAATTCAGGAAGGGGCTACCAACAGAAGATAACTGCGGACGGGCAAAACACCTCCTGATCAGACCTCCACGAGGGACGGACAAGACCAAATGACCGCAGCAACGGAGAGCCATTTCAAAGATGGACGGACGAGACCAAATGGCCGTAGCAACGGAGAAACAATTGATTCACGAGAAATGCTGGAGAAGGGTTACAACGGAAAGAAGGTCGCATATCACCCAAGGGGAACAGTCAAGGGCCCAGAAATGTAGCCGCACAACCCAGCCTAGGAGGGGATTCGAAGAGTCACAAAGGTGTTGGTAATGTTTACCGGATGAGTGTTTAGGGTTTAGGGTTTTAGTGACGCTTTTTAAGGGAATTAAAAAAAGGGTGGGACAGAGGGTATTGTGGCTCACGGGCAGGACGGGTAAGTGGGGGTACAAAGGCTAGCTCGGACAATGGGTGAGCTCTTTCTAGGTGGCATGGATCTATCTGGCAGATCTGGTTATCAGGTCTGAGAGGAAAGAGTGAGGCATGGCAAGCTGGCAGTCAATCCTCCACCAAGGTGGAGCAATCAATGCTGCTCAGGGGTCYTTCGGCCAGACGGAAGGAAGCRTGGGTGGTTCTTATTGTAATGTCTATTCTGACTTGCCGGTGGAATAGGAACCGGACTGATGCTCCCCAGAATGGAAAGGAGCCAGGACCATAAGGTCCTGTTTTTGTTAAATAATAATAATAATAATAATAATAATAATAATAATAATAATAATAATAATTTCAGCCATCTGAGGAGGCGACCTCAGGCAGGGCAGGCTGAGTCAATGCCAGAAAAACTGGCCAGGCCCACCTCATTGAATCATTATGTCTTGCGCTTGCTGGAGGCTGGAGTGCTGCTGAGCGCCAGGGCTGGAGGAAGGCAGATTGGAGCGAGACAGAGTGAGAATGAGGTGACCATGGCTAGAGTAGACTGTGGGCTGGCACCACAGCTGAGAATGAGAGAGCGAGGCTTGGGAGAGAGAGTGAAAGGGAGGTTCAAGGGAGAGACCATATCCTGTGGTGAGAGAGAGAGAAGCTTACCTGGACTCACTTGTTGATGTTGCTGAGGGAAGGGAAACAGCGCTTTGCTTCTGAAGGCCAGCATTGCATTGACTGGGGTAATTCTTCACTGCACTAGAGCAATATCGATTTGCAGAATAACTTCGCATATTGGCGAGGAGTTGGAAGATAAATATTGCTGAGGTGGTGATGGCAGGGAGGAGTGCCTGGAAGTGGAACCGGGATGGCAACGAAAGACGTTCTATCAATTCACTATTATTATCATGAGTTTATCCTCCTCCTCCTCCTCCTCCTCCTCCTCCTTCCTTTGTCTCGATGCTGGTCTACTTTGCTACCTCTTTGCATTCAGCATTTTAAGTTTCATGTATCACGGTGTTGGGTTCATGACAAGAGAGCATAAAACCAAAAACAAGGGATCGGCAACTGGCCTTGGCCTGGGACGAAACTTGTGTCCAGAACATCCTCTGCCCCTATTTTTTGCTCTTCCATGCGTTTGCGAGACAAACAAGCATGTCAGAGATCTGCCAAGCATACCGTTGTTGACTTGCTGATGTTGTCACATATACCACAACCCATAAACTTCATTGGCTCTGGTGCACCAGGTTTTCTCTTTTTGACCTGCAAATGCACGCAAAGAAAGAAAAGACAAGGCATAGAAAATGAGAAAAGCACGAAGAGAATGTGCGTGGGGCCGTTCGTGCATGGGTTTTAGACCGCCAGTACATCGGCCAGGCAAACTCGAGAATCGAAATTGAGGCAATCTGCAAAGATTCTGCAGATTTCGGGAGAACAGAGCTACCGGACCAAAATGGCTGGTGGTGGCAGCCAAAACAGAAAAGATGTGTGCCACTAGCTGTTCGGCAAAGCTAGAGCGTAGTGCAAATCCACCATGCAAATAGAGGCTCGGCGGTCCTGGTGGTTTAAAACACGCACCAAATGTCATTCCGAAATCCATTCAGAAACCAGAAGAGATGAAATAATGAAACACCGGCTACTACACCAGTGTAGCTGAGCGCTGGGTGCCTACACAATGCGTGTTTGTGCGTGTATTAAGACAGTCGTCACAACATGTGTTTTAGACTGTGAGCAGAACAACCCCTTTTCTACCCAAATGAGTAGATCCAAAATTGAAACAGCTTTACATTACAATCTTCTATCAAGTTATATATTGTGAATTTGTCACATATCTATGCACTAAAAGAGCGCACTTCGCAAAGCAAACCCCCCCAACTATCAATCGGCAGATAGTGACATAATATTGTTAGGGGCTACCCAGTGAACTTCACCTGAGCAGCCTGTAAACGTTTCGGTCAGAGGGGGAG